AATCAAATCTCAGCCAAATTGGATTTAAAAATTTGTTTTTACGAGTATCTGAATCTTGTTTTGATTTAATTAAAAATTAATTTAGAAAAAATAAGAAAAAAGAAATTAAAAGCGTGAAAAGTCATCCAATCTTTTTGGCGTTAAATTATATATATTTAATGAGCATTTTATCCAAAAATTGAGGAAAAAATATTTCGTGTCATCTTTTGCAAAATTTTAGCTAAAATCGTGTACTAACCATCGTGGTTTTTGGATAAAAACGCGTTTCGGGGCCCCGACTCAATTTTGCATGATTTTTGGCGCCGAGACTCCTTGAAATATCTATATTCATCTAATAAAATGTTAGCCCCATTGCATTTAAGGATTTATTTTTACGAGCATCTGAATCTTGTTTCGATTTATTTAGACATTAATTCAGAGAAAATATGAAGAACGATATTAAAATCGTGAAAAGCCTTTCAATCTTTTTGGTGTTGAATTATATATTTTTTATGAGTATTGTGGCTAAAATTTGAGGAAATATCTTTCGGGTCAATTTTTGTAAAATTTTAGCCGAAATCGTGTAATAATCATTTTCCATCACAGTTTTAAACTAAAAAAACGTTTCGGGGCCTCGACTCAGTTTTGCATGATTTTTGGCAAGAAGACTTCTGGAAATATTTATATTTATCTAACCAAATCTCAGCCACATTGGATTTAAGCATTTGTTTTTATGACCATCTGAATCATGTTTCGATTTTATTTGAAATTAATTCAGAAAAAATTTGAAAAACGATATTAGAAGCGTGAAAAACCCTTCAATATTTTTGGCTTTGAATTATATATATTTTATGAGAGTTGTTGCCCAAAATTGAGGAAAAATTTTCCGGATCAATTTTTGCAAAATTTTAGCAGAAATCGTATACTTTCCATCACGGCTTTAAGCTAAAAACACGTTTCGGGACACCGACTTAGTTTTGCATGATTTTTTGCACAAAGATTCCTTGAAATATTAATATTCATATGACCAAATCTCAGCCACTTTGGATTTAAGGACTTGTTTTTAAGAGCATTTGTATGATGTTTCTATTTAATTCAAAATTAATTGAGAAAAAAATTGGAAAAACGATATTAAAAGTCTGAAAAACCTTTCAAGCTTTTCGTCTTTGAATTATATATTTTCGATGAGAATTGTGGCCAAAAATTGAGGAAAAATATTCCGGATCAATTTTTACAAAATTTTAGCTGAACTCGTGTACTATCCATCACTGTTTTAAGCTAAAAACGCGTTTCGAGGCCCCAACTCAGTTTTGCATGATTTTTGGCACGAAGACTCCTTGAACTATCTATATTCATTTAACCAAATCTCAGCCACTTTGGATTTAAGGATTTGTTTTTACGAGCATCTGAATCATGTTTCCATTTAATTCGAAATTAATTCTGAAAAAAATTGGAAAAACGATATTAGAAGCCTGAAAAATCCTTCTATCTTTTTGTCTTTGAATTATATTTTTTTATGATAATTGTGGCCAAAAGTTGAGGAAAAATCTTTCGGATCAGTTTAGCAAAATTTTAGCCGAAATCGTGTACTTTCCATCACAGTTTTAAGCTAGAAAAGCGTTTCGGGGCCCCTACTCAGTTTTGCATGATTTTTGGCAAGAAGACTTCTTGAAATATTTATATTTATCTAACCAAATCTCAGCCACATTGGATTTAAGGACTTGTTTTTACGACCATTGAATCATGTTTCGATATTATTTGAAACTAATTCAGAAAAAATTGGAAAAACGATGTTAGAAGCGTGAAAAACCCTTCGATCTTTTTGGATTTGAGTTATATATATTTTATGAGAGTTGTGGCCAAAAATTGAGTAAAAACTTTCCTGATCAATTTTTGCAAAATTTTAGCAGAAATCGTATACTTTCCATCACGGCTTTAAGCTAAAAACACGTTTCGGGACACCGACTTAGTTTTGCATGATTTTTTGCACAAAGACTCCTTGAAATATTAATATTCATCTGACCAAATCTCAGCCACTTTGGATTTAAGGACTTGTTTTTACGAGCATTTGTATCATGTTTCTATTTAATTCAAAATTAATTGAAAAAAAATTGGAAAAACGATATTAAAAGCCTGAAAACCTTTCAAGCTTTTCGTCTTTGAATTATATATTTTCCATGATTTTGTTTTGCATGATTTTTGGTGCCGAGACTCCTTGATATATTTTTATTCATCTAATCAAATCTCAGTCACATTGGATTTAAGGATTTACTTTTATGTGCATCTGAATCTTGTTTCATTTAATTAGAAATTAATTATGAAAAAATATGAAAAAAGATATTAAAAGCGTGACAAGTCCTACAATCTTTTTGGCATTGAATTATATATTTTCTATGGGTATTTTTGACAAAAATTGAGGAAAAATCTTTCGGGTCATTTTTACCATCATGGGTTTTGCCTAAAACCGCATTCCGGGATCCCGGCTTAGTTTTGCATGATTTTTGGCGCCGAGACACCTTGAAATATCTTTATTATCTAATCAAATCCCAGGCATATTGGATATAAGAATTTGTTTTTACGAGCATTTAAATTTTGTTTCAATTTAATTAAATATTAATTCAAAAAAATGAAACAAAAATTTGATTAATTTATTCTCAATAATTTGTAAAAAAATTAGAGAAATTTAATATTTTCAAAATTAACATTGACATTATATTGCACAATATGTAAGTTAAAATATGTTTCAATCAAAAGTTCAACCCCACGTGTGGAATACGTGGCAAATTACTAGTATATATATATATATATATATATATATATTGTTTTCATCATTTACATGACAAATGAAAGATCTCCTCCTTTACCAACAAGGGGTTGAATCAAGTGGTAAGCGGCTTGTTCCAGCTTAAAAAGGTTTCAGGTTCGAGACCTTGCATACGCAACTGCCCCTGTTGGTATACCCACCCATCATAACCAGGTGCGCGACGCGGGTCGAATCCAGATTAATCAGACCAAAGTTTTGGATACCGGATGGGGTACCAAAAAAAAGATCTCCTTTATTTCTTCAATAAATAGAAGAGAAAAAAAAACAAAAAAAAAAACCTCCTCCTTTATATTTTCCTTACATGCATATATATCAATTTTATTTTTGCAACAGTTAATCCCGAACCTTCCGATTAATTATTTGAGTTTTCCGATTCCGAGGTATTACGTAGGATATGAATATATGATTATTGTCTTTTGAGTTTTGATTTTGAACAGTTTCTCGTTTTTTTTTGTTGCTTTTAATGAATTGACCATTTCTAAACTTTGTCAACCGAAGTTTCCTATATGTCGTTGTCGCAACAGCGGTCTAGATTTTGCAGTGGTAGCAACCATTGGTTTTCCTTTGTCTTTTTCATCACTTTAATTACCTCCAATCCTAACGATAACAGTTTAGACGAAAACTCTTGTTCCTTCTGAACCATAACTTCCTAAAACTTGTTGTTCTTATAACATTGCTAAGAAGTCACAATCTTAATGGGAGATAGCGTTTTCATTTCACAACTTCAATCTTATCATTCATTACATATCTTTAAGACGAAGTTTTAAGTTCTAACCGTTAAAATATCTCAGATTACGTAAAGTCGCGATCTCTAATAGAATTATAGTGTACTTTTCAGTTTCTTGCTAATTTTTTTTTGCTACAAAAGAACAGGAAGGGAAAAAACTAAACTGGCGGAAAATACGGTCTTAGTGTGCCAATACCAAGCCGGTCTTCATTCAGTAAACTAAGAACCTCATCAGGCGGCTCGGAACAGATAGAAAGCCCATGAGCAGCCTCGTGAGCCAACATCGCTAAGCGATCAGCGCAACGATTGCCTTCTCTGTAAATATGACGAATCTCCGTAATCCATCCTCCCTTGATAATCTCCAAGCAATCACGAACAAGCGTATAACAGGGATGGGAATCTATCGTTGCCTTTTGTAAGAAGTGCACCACAACAGCCGCATCCATCTCCACAACTAGCGGGGCACAACCTCGTGCCTTAGCAAGCATCAGACCTTGTCGCACACCCCACAACTCGGCCTCCAGGCTATTAGTAACACCAATATTAAGCATGAAACCCACCACCCAATTACCTGCATCATCTCTAATCAACCCACCAGCAGAGGCATGGTTATCAGCATGGCATCTAGAACCATCAGTGTTCAACAAAAAACAACCGGTAGGCGGCTTACACCATTGAACCATTCGCCCCATATTACCACCAAGCTCTTTCAAAGGGGAAAAGAATTGCCCTGCCTCTACCGTTAACTTAACAGCATATGAAATAATTTGTTCCGCATGAGGGCTTTGATCATTAAACACCAAATTATTTCTAGCTTTCCACATACTCCATAGCAAGGAAGGAAAAAAAGATTGCCAAAGAAACCCCCTCCTTAAATGAACGTTTTTCGTTGCATTGGCAAACAACCATGTTTCAAACTCCGGCTTATCATCCAAAATAACACCAAATCGCCGACCTATACAATCCCAAATACCCTTAGCAAAAGGGCACAATCTAAAAATATGATCCGTCGACTCTAAACCAAGATGACAAATCCTGCAACCGGTCTCCACACCAATACCCTTCCTATATAGTATCTCCGAAGTATTCAAACAGTTAATAAACAAGAGCCAACAGAAAAAACGGATCCTTTCTGGTACCGGGAGCTTCCATATCCAATAACACCGCCCCTTCCACCTATCAATAGCACCATGATTCATCAGATTACAATAAGCAGATTTAGAAGTAAACAACCCATTCTTTTCTAAGCCCCATACACATCTATCACCTTCCTCCATGGCTCGGAAAGTCGGTACAGCTCTAATTTCTTCTAACCGCAGAGAGGGAAGTGCCATAGCAACACCATCTAATTTCCATGAACCATCATGCCCTATTAATGAAGCAACACTAGTATCCATATCAACAGAAAAAGCATCGGGATTGATCTCATCAATTAGAGGTCCTTTCCCCACCCACCAATCCGACCATAACTTAGTATTCCTTCCATCTCCAATTCTCCACCGTGTACCCCTTCGAACACAATCTCGAGTCTTCAAAATACCCCGCCATGTGGATGAACAACGCCCAGTACTAACAGTATCCACAAACAGCTTCCCTTTTAAATATTTCGTCTGGAAAATTTCGCAACACAAGGACTGTTGACGCACCTGCAATTTCCAACCAATTTTTGCCAACAAAGCTAAATTAGAGATCCGAGCCTTACGAAGTCCCAGTCCTCCATTACCTTTAGGCCGACAGATTCTATCCCAACTCACCAAATGTCCTTGAGATCTATCCGCCTCCCCACTCCATAAGAAATTGCGATTACATTGATCCAACCTATCGCAAACAGAAACCGGCAACATAGCTGTTTGCATAGTGTAAATTGGTAAGGAGTTAAGAGTAGATTGGATCAAGGTCTTTCTACCAGCATAATTCAACACTTTCCCTTTCCAATTATCCAACCTCCGCAAGACTTTATCAATCACATGCTTATAAGTCACCTTAGACACTCTCCCATGGATGATAGGCACCCCCAAGTAAGTCCCCAACTCGGAAGCTAAAGGAATGCCGCAAGACCGACTTAAAGACCTTGCTTTGTCAATCGGCACATTAGGTGACATCCAAAGCTTCGACTTCTCTAAATTCACATGTAATCCAGACGCATTTGAGAATTCAGTCAAGGTATCTCTCACAACTTCAACTTGAGCATGTTCTGCAACATTAAACAACATCAAATCATCGGCAAAAAATAAGTAAGAAATAGAAGGACCTGATCGAGACACTTTAACAGGTTGCCACAACTTCAATCCCACCTTCTCCAAAATCATATGGGATAGTCTCTCCATAACCATGATAAACAAATAAGACGAGAGGGGATCCCCTTGTCTAAGACCCCTCTCGGGTCTAAAAGCTGGTAAAACTTCACCATTCCATACCACCGCAATATCCATATTAGATATACAGAACATGATTAGCTCAATTAAACTATTCATTGCTTTTAATTATTAGAACTATTCATTGCTTTTAATTGGTATTGAAATGGCAATTTGGAAGACCTTGACTTAGTTATAGAGATATATAGGGTACTTTTAAATACTACTTAGAGGGTATGGCCTGAAGAAACGCGTGTTATAATCATTCCATTCCATCCGATCGTGAGCTGAATTATTGGGACACTCATTAAATATATCCACACTAAGATTAGGGACCAACCACATTTGACTTGGTGTAGACTTCGGTGCTCCCGTTGTGATGTTCCCACTTTTCAATGTGATGCTCCCATTCAATTCTGACCATTGGATGCAACATCTATTTTCCTGACTGTCGGATACTAAAAGGTTTAACCTGCTAAACCGGTTTTAAAAACCTTTTGGAATGAATTCATATATGGTAGTCCTCGTGATAAATTTTTACACCTTTTTTATTCCAAATCGTTGATATCAACTATTTTTTTTACTTGATTTTTACACCTTTTTTAGGGTTCGAAAAAGAGAAAAAGGAAATTGGTTTTGAAATTCTGATTTCGATTTTTCCCTTTTTTGTTTTTTTTCCTGATTTATTTTCCCTTTTTTTTTCAATACACTAATGGGAAAAATAATAATAAATCAAGTAAAAAAAGTAGTTGATATCAACGGTTGGAATAAAAAAGTGTAAAAATCTATCACGCAGACTACCACATACGAATTCATTCCAAAAGGTTTTTAAAACCGGTTTAGCAGGTTAAATCTTTTAGTATCCGACGGTCAGGAAAATAAATGTTGCATCCAATGGTCAGAATTGAATGGGAGCATCACATTGAAAAGTGGGAGCATAACAACGGGAACACCGAAGTCTACACCATTTGACTTTGCCCAAAAAAATTTTTGAAAATCGAAGTAAAAAGGATTAGACTTTGTTGTCCAAATTAAATAAAAATACATTTGTGCGTGTATGTATCAGTGTAGTTGATACTTGAAACTCGAAAGGGTAAATTTTTTAGTAGACATTATTATTATGAATCATTTTAATTATTTAAGAGTAATTTATGTGAACACACATAGAAGGGAATGGAATGATCTTGATTGATTTGAAAAAGGTCTAATTGTTAAAAAGAAAAGAATGTTGATTAATTCTCTGCCTCTTCTTTCTCTTTTACAATTTTGGAAGACTAAAAATTAGGAAATTGTATAAAAAAATATCCATAATTTTTTTTTTTAAAAAAAAACATTGATGGATAATATGGATTAGACCTGTTCATGGGGTAGACCTAATTTTAAGATTAATGCCATAAGTGTTGACCAAGCCCGACCCATTTATAAAATGGGTTTCAAACTTTTACCCAAGCCTTACCCATTTATCAAATACTTAGACCAAGACTTGTCCAAAAGGCTGTCTAATATTTCTTTAATAATTAAAAGAGGGGTATCCCGCGCTTGCGGCCTTGCGCTACGAGGGTTTTTTTAATGTGGATATACTTGTTTATACCTGTTATTTGGCTTGCAAGTGTATACTTGTTTCTACACCTAGTAATGTAATGTTTATCATCATAATAAATCCTTAAAAAATGAATCCTTTAAAAAATACATTCTTAAATATCCTTCAATAATGGAGAAACACAAAAATGAAATGTAATCTATTTCCCTAAAAAACCTTCTCGAGTTCAATTTTGCTTCACTATTTTTCATCACTTCGGTTTTCTCGCTTGTGAGAAAAATTAAAGGCCATTAAGTTAGTTTAATGCATATAAATATTGTTCATACCATACTGTATTTGGATTCAATGAATTTAGAATTTTAGACCCAATAACTGGTTATTCATTTTACACTATTAATGGAGTTAGATGAGTATAGACTATAGAAAAAAAAATGGTGTTTTAACAAAACAAAACCTTCTATAACTCTTCAAAAAAAATCCAAAAAGATGAGCAAGCATAGAAGGATCATTTGTCCTTGAAAGTCATTAAACCAATTGTGCTTGACAATTAATACGGTCTATTAAAACACATTAATGTGTGTGAACATAGTTAATCATCTGAAAATAGTTAACAAAACTGAAATTTACTTTTATAACTCAACAAACTCAACACAAACCACATAAAACATAAGGATTATTGAGTAATTAGCCAAGGGAGAAAAGACCAAAACGGGGCGAAAAAGTTGTCCCAGATTAAAAGTTGAAAGGGACTGTGTTACAAAAATAATGGATAGGATATATTTTAAGAATTAAACTATATTAATTAATTATATTAATATAATTGTAAATCTAAAATATGATATATACTACCTTTAATATACTACTCTTATTGATAATAGGATTTTCTACATATATTACTCATCTTTTTCTTATTTAAGATACGATGTAGCTGTAAAATATATTTAATATATATTATATTAACAAATAAAAAATAAAAAGAAGTATATTTCCTTAATCGGGCTGGGCTCGGGTCGGGCTTGGACTTATTGCTCTTATACCCAAACCCGGCCCATTTAATGAATGCGTTTGATTTTTTTTGTCCAAGCTCATCCAATGGGTTTAAAATTCTTATCCAAGCCCTTTAAAATATCGGATTGATCGACTTATAAGTATGCAGGGACGGACCTATATAGAAATGAGGGTGGGCACGGGCCCACCCCCAATTTCTAAAACTCTTCCATTTTATGTGTAATTTTGGATGGTGCCCATCCCAACTTGACCAAGTGTGCCCACCCTTAATTGATTAATTCATCATTGTGCCTTTAAATCATAGTTCACAAGCCATTAAGAATATATTTTGTATATGTATAGAAGATACCGTGTCCACCCTAAAAAAATTTCTAGATCCGCCACTGTAAATATGTGCGGATAACCGAACCCTTAAACAGCTCTAGCTAATATCTACCATTCCCAATTACCCACCACCTCAATGTCAAGTGACAATTTTAATATTATTTGGTGGTTGATTAATCACTCTTCTCTTAAGGCTTTTTCTCTTTTACTACTTATAGTAGTATTTTTTTTTGTTCCCTGCGCAAATCATCAAT